CCCCAAAACCCCAAAACCCCAAAACCCCAAAACCCCAAAACCCCAAAACCCCGAAAGGTATAAATTCACTGAAATTCTGAACTTATTGTAAATATTAATTAATGAATCAAGAGTTAGAGGCAGCTTCTGCTTCACCTAAAATAGCCATTTTTGAAGCATCTGATGAGTGTCCATCCTTCTTTGAGGCTGAGAAGTTCGCAGAAGACTTCTCTGATGACAGATTTATGATTTTCAGCGATCAAAAGTGGACAGAAACCTTGAACGAGCCTGTTAAAGATCATGATTTCGATCTCATTTTGACCAAATTTGAAAGTGGATCCTTCAATGGTATTGAAAGCACGATAGCGAGTAAGCAGCGTATCTTTTGGCTTAGAACCTTAGATATGGCGAGCGCGAGGCCTAAATCAGGCTAGATCCGCTGGAAATTCGCCGAATCGAGTTATGGGTAGCCCATCTTCTCTTAATTGTGGTTCAAAAATGTCTTCACCTTATTCTTATTTTCTACCTTTAAAGAGTGAAAATAACAGGATTTTTGTAGATCAAAAAACTCCTAGTAGGGAGGACTCAGATGACAAAATATCGCTAGATAGCATGAACAGCTGCAAGCAACTCTATTCTGACGTGTCTTCGTGCTTTTTCGACTGAGAAGTGGGTTCAGGGGACAAAATGCCTCATTTCCTTAAAAATAATGAAAATACTGAGACAGTAGAAGTTTTCCCAAACAACAAAAGTTTTATCCTATCTGATAAGGGAGATTCGTTCAATAACACACTCTTAGAAGGTGCTAGCCATGATGAGAATCTTATTTCTTCCAAGAAAAGCACTAAGAGCACAAAAAGAATCAAGAGATGGCTCAAGGATGAGGATAGAACACTCATCAGTATAATCCTTGGTTTAATCAAAGAGAACAGTTTAATCGAAGAGGAATTAAGAGGAAGCATAGAGACTAATACAGATACTAAAAACGTGTGGATGTTCATTCAAAACAAGCTCCACACTTCTCGCTCGCTCGATTTCCTCCAATCTCGGTACTACAAGTTACTCAGTAATCAGAAATTGAATTCGAAAGAGGCAGCTCTCTTGGCCGATAAGTACGATACAGTGTCTATTGAAAAGTTCATGGTCATCTTCCCGGGTAAAACCAGAGAGACCCTAACAAGCCTTATTTCAGAGCTAAGATCGAAGGAAAGGAAGAGAAGAATTTCTGAAGAAAAGTTTGGTCATGAGATAGAGTCTCAGAAGGACCTCAAGATCTGCTCACTAGGTAAACTTTAGTACTACTATTTCACGTAGACATTGTTGCTACATGAACAGCCAGGGCTTCTAACTTTTATGGCTCATAATCAGCTTTACTGTTGGTACAAGAAATTAACATTCTCATAGTAAAACAACCAGTGATCACGCTTAACACCTTTACGGACAAGGGTCTCACAGTCCATATTGGAGATATGGAGGAATTGGGATCCACAAAATTGCTTAAAAAGTTGGATAAAAAGACTCTGAAAAGACTGAGCTACGGTCTGAACCAAATAATTGGGGACATCTATCACCAAAAAGCTCATATGTCAGCCCTCTAACGGCTCTGAGCTGAAATAACTTAATTTGTAACTATTCCAAATATCTAATTTTCCATTTTTAAAGGTGGGGAACCTCCAAGTGGGTATTTCTGGCCAAAACCTATCTCTAACGCTAGGCATCCTCCCAAGCTGGGACGTTGACTAGAATTCTTTAAATTGATAAATGAACTTTTGGTATGAAAATTTTGGCATCATTTCTCCTAGGAAAATTTTTAGCAGAATTTCAGAAACTCAAGGGAATCCATCCTCTCACGAATCTTTTAGGGTTAGCACGACTCTTCACAAAGAGTTAGCATGACGGCTTACAGCCAGGTCATTACGGTGGAATAAACTATGTTTAGGATGCTTTTAAGCTAATGTTCTCTTTATGAGGGTATTGTTCAACTTCTTCTCTAGCTTTAAACTTTTAGAAAGGGCCCCGCTGGCACCATTTAAAAAAATTAAATTATAATCCCAATTGGGGTTTATTTATAAGGGGTTTTGGGGTTTTGGGGTTTTGGGGTTTTGGGG